TAATAATCACGAGAAAATCTTCCCTTTAACATATAGCGCAGATAAGTTGCGCAGAGATCCTCGAGGAAATATGGCAGAAAATTACATTTTACAAGTTACAGCCGGTTCAAAGTACGATGTCAGCACACATCAGATTGTACCGGTCAATCAAGCAAAGACAATTAGAATTGAGAACGAACTTTGCGAGGTGGATTTGAATGTCAGGATCCAAGTGAGTGAAATTCTCTTCACTCTGTTATGCGCCCCAAAATCATCAATAGAACATCTTGAAATCTAACCAACCCCGCCTCGTCAGGATTATCGCGGACTACCCAAATCCTCGCCCACCACCTCCCCATACTTTGCTCTGCCCCCGCATGATAAGAATAAAGATCAATATAGTATCGGGTTTCGATTCAAACCAAAGAAGGATATCAATGCGGATGATTTGGTTTTCGGAAACGATTTTGATCATCCAATTAGAGATCGTCTGCCCCCAGGGTTCAATACAGCTTTCAGGATCGTGAAATGGATGGTAGATCCAGGGTTAGATGGGGATGTTTATGCAGACGAACCATATTTGTATGGACCAGCAGCTAGTTCATTCAATGTGTTGTATGTTGGAGAGGGAGGGGAGGCAGATGGTGAGGAGGAGGAGAATGCGGGTTTGGTGTTTGAAGAGGGCGGGGATGAGGAGGGTGAGGAACACCGGGAGGAGTGTGGAATTCCGGATGGGGAGGCGGCAAGGAAGAAATACTTCTTGACGGAGGCAAATAGGAAAGAGTGGGATTGGGAAGAGGGGAGAACTTATGGGTGTGATTTCTTTAATGCATATCTAGATTTTAACAGTAAGTTGAGAGTTGACGTATCCATCGTATCCCCACATACGGATTGACACTGACTGTATATCGTCATGGGTAGATTTCTCTCTCAAATTACCAGGGTTTACAATGCCAATAATGAAATATTGGGATGGGCAAGGTCTTCGGTTCGTTATTCTTTCTTTCATCCTTCTCTCTCATTCAATCGACAAACCTCCTTGATGATATGTATTGCGCCGAACTCTTGATCTGTCATGCCAACCGTGTTTTTCTTTTGATATTAGGAAAGAGCAAAAGCGCTCACACACGCTCAGATATGTATTGAAAAATCGCAAGACTGGAGAAGTCTTATTTGTGGTTCTGTTTACGCTTTATCTGAAAGAAGATGTGGATGAGAACGGGAACCTGAAGGCGGGTGTTGAAGGAGGGAAACCTTTCGATCAGCTACCTAAAGACGTTGCCGAGAAACATTTAAGAGAGAAGAATGGGGAAGCGGAAGGTGAGAAGGGGGGAGAGAAGGTGGAGCAATCTACTAATGACGACGATGATGGTGATAGTGATAGTGATATTGACTGAACTTGCATGCATGCAAGAAAAAGTAGTAAAGATATATCAGTCAAAAATATAATGTAAGATGGACAGATGCTACCTAGGTATTCTTTAACAGTGGAAGAGCTGAAATTATATATTCCGAGTTCACACAAGACCACTTTCCTCACCACCCCGCACACGACGAGATCTTCAGCACCTGACGAGACTGATGAAGCCAGCCAACCTCTGAAGATAATCTCCATGATCAAGCAGTGAGGTGTTCCATCTTTCAATAGCAGGTTCGGTAACCAATTAATCTCCTTTGCAATAAGTCAATCATTATTGAAAATCAATGGAGAATATGATATGGGATGTTTTATGTTTCGTTTCAGGTATTATTAGCATATTAATTAATTTGATACTGATTATCCAGGTACGTAGGAAGGTAATATGGAATGTTCATGACTTGACTTTTTATGATAATGAGTGGAATTACCTAGGAATTACCTAGGTAATTACAGAATCGAGGGAAAGAGTTGACAATACTACTACTAATAAATAGAAGGTGTGCTTGTGTATTAACAAATGTAGGTACTTTCAACATAAAACCCCTACTTTAGCAGCGGTGTTAATCAAAAAAAGGATTCGACAGATGTTGAGCTCAAACGAGGTACCTAGATAGTGATTTATTATTCCATTCCATGTATATAATATTGCGGTTTGGTGATCAGTCAAAAATTCTAGACAATCTGCTTTAGTTACTGCTTAGTAGTAAGTTAGTACTGACCTAGTAGGTATTTATACGGAATTATAGTGTCGCTCTTTTTAATCTTTCTTCTTTATACACCCACCACACACCCACCACTTGACACTTTTACCCACTCACCACTCAACACTCACCATACACACATACACCCATACACCCATACACCCACACACCATTTCCCATTCCAATTTTCAATTTTCCCATATCCAACAATCCACAAATAACATAGAGCCCAATTAAATATTATCAGCTATTCAACATTCATCTCTCCTTCCCTTTCCTTTCCTTTCCTTTCCTTTTTCTTCTTTCCTTTCTTTTTCTCTCTTACTTTCTGATCCCCTTCCCAAACATATGCATTGTGAAGCAACCTTATCAGCCCCGAAGGATTTGTCGTACGCAACCAGCGCAAAACCTCCAACGAGATACAATAAACAACACTGCCTACCTACTCGTACAGCGATCGTTCCAATCGTCATATAAGATCCCGTACCACCACTTGTTAAAGTATACTCACGAATTTTACAGCTGTTCCAAATACTACCACATTAAACCATCTGGTCTGCGTCGCTTTCCTACAGGTTACTCTCGTCTTGATCACAGAACGATACGTCTTTAATCTCACTTCCGTCCACCACTTCGACTTCACCTTATTTTGTTCATGATTCATCACGGTTATCGCGCGTAGAAGAGTGGACGCGGTAGCAAGAACTATATCAACATGTATTCAAATCATCCACCACGAGAGAGTGAGCTCAGCCAGCATTTGTTTCCCATCATGACGACTGCTTCAACCCCAGCCACTCCGGGTCCGTCTACGCCAACAGTCACGCGAGCACCTCTGATAGAGCATACCAAAGTCGATGACATTATAAACATCGAAAGACCGGCATCGACACCGTTTCCGCGACAGGAGTCTTTAGATGGAGAGATTATAGAGCGACAAATCGAGCCCGAACTTCTTGAATGGAGAGAACCTTCGCCGATTCAACAAGCCCCAGATTCGGGCTCGCCCTTGTGCGACCTTCCTGTTGAAATTCACGAATGTATTCTCGATCACTTGTTCGGTTTCAGGGCTGCGGCTTCTGCAAGAATTATACCGGGAAAGTCGAAGGTGCTTCGGGGCTGGGGTACAGCATTAAGACACTCGAGACGTCGTGAAGTCTCCGAGTTGGCGCTTGTCTCTACTCAATGGAGAAGTCTCATCCAAGAAAGATTATATAGACATCTCAAGATCAAGGGAACCATGGATTCCGTTCAGCAGTCATTAGATTGGTTTTATGCTCATTCACATTTGTGTCGTTATGTAAAGCACATCGAAATATGGTTTCCGGTGTTTCAACAGAAGAAGGTGCCTTTCGATCGAGTTATGCGTATACCCACAACCAATCCAGACCGTTCTACCCTAATTCGCTCACTCGCACATCTCGGCGCAGAATCTACGAATCCTGTCACGTACCAAACACCAGATAACAACTCCACCCTATCAGAAATCTTCCAATTCGTTCGAAATACTTTCCCTGAAGTCGTTATCCTGACTCTGGAAGGTGGGGAGAGAAAGAAACCCCCTCAAGTCCAGCAATTCCGCCCACATGAAACAAAGTTGCCGAAGATCCGTACTATCCGAACTCTGGTCTGCAAGGGACAATGGAATATCATACGTACGAATGAAGATTTCCAGAATATCGCGACAGCATTACCAAACCTCAATGAATGGCACGGATCTTATGCCAAACCGAAGTCGAAGTCATACCTTTGTATCGCACAAATTGCTCCCCAGATACCTCAGAATATTACACATCTCAACCTATGTCTTGAAAACGACTATCGCAGAGAAACTGTATCACCTGCTTTCTTCAGGAAGGTTACCCAGAAGACGCATTTCTGCGATGAATTGGCCAAATCGATTCCAACTCTCGAGCACTTGGCATATACCGGTAGGATTTGTCGTGGATTCTTCGATACAGCGGCCAAACTTTCAAATGAACGTACCTCGAAATTGAAGAGTATAGACTTCATTGTCAAGAATTGCTGCCGCCCTAATCAGCAATGGAATGACGGATCTGGTATAAGTGATATGTCATTTATCTCAGCCTTCGAAGCATTGGTGTTGTCGAGTGTACGATCATTGAACAAGCTGGCGGCCCTTGAGTACCTAAGAATCAGATTCATAGACCTGGGTGAGTTTGAGCAACTTTCTTATTGCCTGGATAATATTAACAGTGCTGCAGAGTCACAAATTCCACCGCTTAACCCATATTTTGAACTCAAAAGTAACCAATGCACGGGAATATGGAGCCCCACAATCGTCGATGCATTGGCGAGCAGTCGACCAAGTGCATCATTCACAGAGAAAACAGAAACCCTTGGTGAATTGGCTATCAACAAGGATGGACAATACATCACACCTACTACATTCTCAAAGTTTCGACCACTCTCGATAAAAGTTTCAAATTATCTTGCACTTTCGGGTGGTATCACAATTACATAAATGAATGATATCGTATCATGTCACAAAATTCGCATTGCACATATGGTGGGCAATCTTAGCTAAAGAAGGACATCGTCTCATTGCTAGCATATTTTTCGCCGGAGTACAAGGGAAGGGTGTTGTAAAACAATTATTGAGCAGAGGATTTGGTTGAGGATATGGCTTTGGCAATGGGCTGGGAATGGAACTGGAGCTAGGACTTTTTTTTTTCATCTGGCATTGGCAGGCGTTCTCGACTCTGGCTCTGGAAGCAAAGGAAGGGTGTTTTATATGCAGTCAGCGGTTTCAGTTCACATTTCCAAACTACAGCGAAGGAGACGTTCCTATCTAAATCCATAGAGAACTCTTAGCAGATCATATGTAAATTCATGAGAATCATTGCTAATTCATTTCTGATATGGATATGTGAGAATGTATGTACAGACCGATGTGTGGAATATGTCTACTCTCTATATACACCTCTATCTGGCGCACATATTGATACGCATCATCCCAGTAAACAGTCTTTCTCTCATTCCCCAACCTCCCTTTTAACCTCCTCGAGACCCAAACCTCAAATCCCTTTCCCAGAAACAGCAGCCGCTCCCCGACCAACATCCTTCACAATAACACCCAGAATCCAGACATTCGTGGCGAAAAATAAGAGGCTTGCCGCAAATAGGCCGGGCACAAAAGTGCTCAAACCCAAAAATTCAAGCTCGAATGCTTGATGTAACCAAAATGCTTGTGTGGCAACCCATAAAAACAGAGCGAATATCCCCTTGCGTGGTGATTTGATGAGGCCACAGGAGGGAGTAGAAAGGTAGAGAGGGAGTAAACAAGTGTACCAGAGGAAGTACTGGGATGTGACTACTTTGTTGAAGGTCACGAAAGTGAGAGTTTGCGCTAGCATAGTGGTGGGTAAGTCGTGCTTAGAGAGGGCGAGGGGGAGGATGACAGTGGAGAGGAGAAGTTGAGGGATGAAAGTTAGAGATTCCAAGGGTAGGGGAGAGGGGGAGGGGAAGGCGGAGCGCAGGTAGAGGAGGGTGTTGTAGGGTGAGAAATTGTGTCGGTGGTCGATGCGGGTTACATGGTGGAGATAGGTGTGTTGGAGGAAGGGGTATCCATAGCTGAGGGGGATTGTTAGTGAGAGCTTTGGAGGTTGGAATAGTGTGGGGAAGGGCGGAGTGGCTTACATGTAATACATCAGGATATTGAGTCCCATAAATGTCATCAGACTAACCGTCACTAACGTAACCCTCTCCTGATTCATGAATCTCATAGCCTTACCCCAAATATCATCACTTCCACTCAACCTCTCCGCTTTTCCCCTCTTCAATCCTTTCCCTCCAACACTCCTGCTTCCAGAACCAGTAATCGTCTCCCGATCCAAAAACCAAACAATACTAATCCCATACACCACCGGGTAAATCTTAAAATGGACTCCTAATCCCAATAACATCCCAGCCAACACAATCTTTCTTTTCAACGCCGCCCACAATAACCCTATGACCAGCACTCCCAAAATTCCCTCGCTACTCCCCCGCGTACTAATCGTCGCAACCATTGGATTCAACAACCAAATCGCCGCATACTTCCCCGCACGACCAACATCCATTCCCCGACCAACTAGTATCACATGGAGTAAATAACCTGCCAGTATATCACACACGGCGAATAGAACCTTGCCAAAGTGGAACCAGAGATGCTGGGGAGAAAATGTGGTGGGGAGTAAGAGCCAGGCGAGAAGAGGTGTGTACCGGTAGGTTTCCCGTGTGTAGGGAGAGAGTGAGCGAGAGGTGTACAGAGATGCGGAGGTGAAGACTTGGTAGTCTATATCTGTGTATTTGAGGGGGGAGTGTGCGTCTTGGTAGAGACCGTAGAAGAAGAGGATTATGCGGAGGAGGATGGAGAGGGTGAAGAGGGTGCGGGTTGAGGGGGCCATGGTTTAATGGGGTGGATTGAATTGGTGATGCAAGCGGAGCATCTAGAGCTCGAGGAATAGGAGCTTGAATCCTCGCTCTTGGTGATTTTGAGAAGAGTTTGAACTGAGAAATCAGGATGGGAGAATTAATGTGTGGGAAAGTTTGGAGAGGTTGGTGAGAGGTTTCCAAATCTAAGGCGTGATTTGAGGGGATAGGATAGTGACCGATTCTATTTAATGATTGGAATCATGATAACTAGCAAAATGCCTCGACTGTGGTCACTTCCATTTGACTTTGGTAAAATAATCTCGAGCTTCTTTTTGATATTGAAGTCTGCACGTGTTTATATGATAAACCCACCCCACTAAGTAAACTACTCGCACATCTAAGTTATTCTCACTCAAAATATCCCTGCTTGCTTACCTCACCATCCAACTCCACCACAGCACGCCTCATAAATCTGCACCAGCCAGTGCAGGTCTTCTTCTTGATGTATAATGCAGGAATCTAAAACGCAAAGTGAAGATATGCCAAGTATTAAACGTCAACATGATGGTACTTCCAAGGAGAAGTCAGAGAGAAAGTTTGAAGGATCGGAAGAAAAGACTGGAGCGCCGATAAGTCCTTTCATGCCAATGTTTGAGGGGTTCAGAGCGGAATTGGACGAACATCATGATCGGAGAGAGAGGATTATTAAGGCGGGTAGAGATATCACGGCGGGGAGTAAAAAGATGTAGGGACTTTTTCTTGGGGCGCTACGTGTGAGAATTCTCGGATTGGGCTAATTTTCTTCTAGAATTTTTGCGTTGCAAAGGTATGCACAAATTTCAAAAACGCCTACCTAGTACCTATATGAGATCATGAATCATCGTGTTAACATACATTTTCAGAGTTCAAAAACTCCATCAGTCTCTTCCTCAAAAGATTGCCAAGGAAACCTCAGAGAGACTGGCTACGATTAATGATCTCTTTGTCGGTATATCACCTGATCTCACGGGCATAAATTCTTGGCGCTACCAACGACAGATCTCAGGGGGTATTCAAGAATACATGGAAGCTGTGTCCTTTTCCCACTACCTGACTGAACAAAAATTAGTCCCTCTTGATGCTGCTCAAGCTTCTTTGCCAGAAGCTGTGAATCTTACAGGCGATGACTATGTTCTTGGAATTTTTGATCTCGTAGGCGAGATGATGAGATTTGCCATTACGAGAATGGCGACAGATGGAGAGTTGCCGGGCAAAGAGGAGAGGACGATCCTGGCGGACTTGAGAGATATTAGAATGAGATTCGAAGAGCTGGATACGACTAGGTGTGGAAATGTGGGATTGGGAAGGGATGTGGAGAAGAAGATGGAGGTTATGAGGACTTGTGTGGAGAAGGTGGAAACGGCGGTCTATGGTATGATTGTGAGGGGTAGAGAGAGGCCTAAAGGATGGGTTATGGATATGCCGGATGATAGTAAGGGTGCGGTAGAGAGTTATTAAAGATGTGTTTGTGGGTACAAGGTCATCGCAGCGCGGTAGCTATAGCGGGAGAAACTTGTGCTAGGTCGCTTCTTTGTCGAAGTCACAGTGTAGAAGTAATTTGCTTGAAAAGTCTTGCAGCAATCAAGACCTAAAACGTTGGCAATACTTGAGAGCTTTCAATGTATAGAATTATTCTGAAGCTACCTGGGTTATCAACAACATAAAAACATCTAGCCAACAAAGCGAGGAGATGATTTCCCTTTCATCTACCTGACTATGAATTCTAACCTATCCAGTCCTCGCTAACCCTCACTCGTTGGTTTCGTTGTAAAATTTGGCAACCAAACAAGCCGTCGAGATGACTACTGTGGATACGCTCTTTTTACTTGTTTATACCGGAATTCCGCAGGGCATCACGGTAAAAGTGCCCAGAACAAGACAGCAATTGTAAATCTATCGTCCTACACATGTATGCTTAGGGTGTTATGCTACTGGTGAATTGAACTTTAATTTTGTTCGGTTTTGGTATCAAGGTAATTGTCGACGATATAGCGAATTGCCAGTAAATTAAGAATATCCTTCTAGAGAGGGTTCTGAATAAGGATATCCTTATAGAGAGGTTTTTTAGTGCCGTGCATGTAGCAGGGAAAATGTCCACAAACGGCTTAGCAAGAAAAATATTCTGATACCGCATCTTAGCAACGCGTGTTTATCTACACAACAACAAGAACAAGAGCATCTGAGTCGGCCACCAATTCAGTTTATTGACACATTCTGAGAGGTTGCAATACCAACGCTGGTTATCATATGTTTGGATACAGATGATCTTGCTGCCATAATGCATAACATTACAATCGTTCCTACGCAGGAGACTCATATCTTCTATCCGATTGGAAACACACCAGCGGTCAATCTTCTCGAATACCATGCTCCTAAATCTGATGGAGAGATTACGGATATACTTCTTCTTGCCTGTGGAGATCCTAGAAGTATTTTATATTCGTTGTTCTGCGAAGACAAACCAGGTAAAGAACGGTCGTGATGTACCCTGCATTCATTTGCATTTATCAAAACGCTTCTAACTATTTTCATTTATCTTATATAGGTAATGAGAAATTTAATTTTGTGTGTTGTGATATCGACCCAGCTATTTTAGGTAACTTATGCTCCTATTGCAGTTTAGTGGTTTTTGTTAGTATTGACCTTTATCTAGCTCGCAATATTATTTTGTTCTCTCTCATCATCGATAATGCTGCATCATACGGCTCTCAATCCCCACACGATAGAGCAAGAATTGGTGCAATTTGGAATCTGTTTTACCACTATCAAATTCCCAAAGAGGATTTGAAGCTCTTACAGGACCAAGCTGAGAAACTCTTGTCACTCTCCAAATCGCCAGAGACATGGGCAGAATCTCCCTATTCTAGCACTAGTTTTGTTAGCTTGCAAACTCTTGAGGGAGTTCGAAAGATCTGGGAGAAATATGCTATCCAGAGAAGCCCAGAAGAGCAGCAAAAATATGAGGCACCTAGACGGCACACCCTCTCAGAGATACGTCAGAAGTTCGCTCACGGTGGAGGAGCATGTGTGACTTACTCTGCAGGGGTACACTGGTTTGCAGGCTTAAACTCATGTTGGGATGCACTCAAGGGCTATTGGACAAAAGGGGTGGTTGCTGGAAACGCAGGTGATGTCAAGGCTCTTGGCTTTGGTGGAAAGGGAGTTTTGAATCCAAATTTTATGGTATCAGCCATGTCCGAGGATTTCATCGTTCCATTCACCAGCGACCCTTTGTCGACATATCATGTTCCACAGGTATTCGACAATCCCTTAAGCAAAAAGCAACGTATGGAAGCCTTGGCAACATCCGCAAAACAAGACTTTGCGGAATGGTGCAAAGCCTTTGCAAAATACGCGGCCGCAGGTTCTGTTTTGATCAATGCTTATGTGGGAGATGCAGTCACCTTTTCTTATGAGCTAGCATCTCGTGGCCGGTCAAGAGCCACATCTGTTGTTACCCGTCTTTATGCAGATTCATGGTCTGCAAAACCAATGTTGTTGGATGGTCCCGGTGCATCACTTTTACCTCTTTCTTTCGAGGTCATCGACACTTCCAATATTGTAGATTACTATGGGCATCTCAATATCCTACCCTCTACAGTGCCCCTTCTATCTAGAACTTTCAGCTCTGTTCTATACACTGAAAGCTTGCGGATCTCTTCTCTTGATTTAAAGCAAAACTTGAAGGCTGCACTTTTGATGGATGTCAATTTAGCTTCGTTGTTGTTTGGGCTGACACCGTCCGGCCAAATCATGGGCTATACTACATACAACAATTATAGCGAGGACATTACTCAACAGACTTCTTCCCACCGCTATCGAACACGTCTACCCTGGCGATTTCCATCATTTGGAGACCATCACTGTTGTTCCACATCGAGTCAGCCTATCAAAATCGAAGTTGATGCAGATGAACTCTCTCAATTATGCTTCGATACATACATGAAGATGTTCTCGATTGAAAACCTTAAAAACCGCATCGCACCAGGAGTCCGACCTTTACGCAGTGAAGCGATGAATTGTTATTCACGATTAAGTTTTGTCAATATCCTGCATCTTATTAAGCAAAATACCACAACTAATTGGATATCCTTCTGCACAAGTCTACAGAAGAAAATCGCAGCTGATACAGTCTCTCATATCGGGGCTAAAACAGTCTTGTAAATCTTTACGCACATTGATATCTCCAAGTTTGTGACGGGAACCAGAGGCTATGATACTGCATATTATTCCTTTGTCACAATGGTGGTGCCTCGGAGCGACCTCGAAATATTTCTCCAGCCAGACTCTACACCTCATCCTATACTTCATGCTTACATATTCAGGCCCAATACCAATGAAGAAGATCTTTTCTTTTCCATGGACTGTTTCTTTGGAACTCTCAAACCACAAACAGACCCTGAATTGTGTGGAGAGTTCATCGAAGATCCACAAGGCTGGGCTGGTGATTCCGATTTGATCATTACGTTCCCCGTACCTGCTCACATAGTGAAAGGGAAAAAATGGAATATTGGGCTATGCGTTACCATTGATATGAACGGGTCAGGGTACATAATGGATTTGGGACCAGAGATGGTAGTCTCTTCGGTGTCCGGGAAGAACAAAAAACGAGTGACTATTTCCAAGGTGCCCCCTGGAATTCCTAAGTCCCGTTTACAACCCGCTCCAGAGATTGCCTCTGAGCAACATTCAGTTGAACAAGCCGACAACTCCGAGAGCGGAATCACTATAGCGGCTACAAACCTTAATAAGTCCGCTGCACTACAGGCAACTTACCGTTTCGTAGACGGAACTGAGGAAACCAAGGCACTGCAAAAAGCTGCCCTTGTTACACTTTCGGATATTACTCCATGCTCTATACTCCTAAATATTGGGGAATTTAGCCACCGACTCATCTTTCCATACCCGATAGATGGATCCAAAGCGACAACGAAGATTGCTAGAAAGAGTCTTTGGATTCAAGTCAACGTCCCTCTCGCACCAACTCTGAAATCTGGCGGTTATGACCATAATCCCTTCCCAGTGATCACTTCTCCATATAATCAGCCGGCAATTTGGGCTCTCCCTCGAATCAATCTCTCTACTCTTCCATGGGTAAATAGTAGCAATCCAGATTGGTTGGAGGATGTAGACGATCAAGTTTATAGCGGTCGTGAAAAACACATGCTTCGCAACAAGGATGAGTCAACCAATGATTTTCCAGGCGCTCTTCTCCAGTTAAAAAGTACGCTGGCTGAAATAATGGTACACATGGATAAGACTAAGCTATGTGGCGTCTTCGTCAAAGGGGCCACTATGAGCGAAAATGTTGGCGATTTGCTGTTAGTCTCGAATGGGCTTCGCCATAGCCGCGAAACAAGCTCACTGGTGTTTGACGGCTGGGTTATTTCCGATGTTCTCGGTCTAAGACCTTCCCCTCCCGCACTATTGCAATTGATAAGCTATACAGTTACTCGTAACGAGCACATTTTGTGGAAGAAAATTATACCTGCAGCGGTAGAGTCATGCCGACGGGGTTGGGAACATGATTTATCCTGCGCGTATCGAGATACTCAAGCCCCTCTTTCTATCGAGCCTTATGTATCCCCGATCTGTAAGTGTGGTGAAGGAAAAGATGTCGAGGATTTCCCACAAGACTCGATGATTCAACCGTTTATAACGAGAGCTACGAGGATCGCATTGCCGTTATTGTCGGCAGTCTCTTATGTGGAAGCCATGGATCCACCAGAGCTCTCATGTTCTTAGACCACGAGTTACCTCTTGATTTTCTTCTTTAGTTCTTCAATCTCCTTAAGCTAGAAATATAGCCTTTCTTGTTAGTCCAGAATATTACCTGATAACAATCCATGGTGTGTTTATTTTTGCTGTGCAACAAGATTCTATTCTCGAAACATTCCAAGACTTTGAGAATAACTCAACAAGGGGATACGAATTAAAATGCCAGTATATTAATGTCAAGGCTTTGTGTTGAAGATATAACAAGCTGACTTTAACTCAACACTGAATATGCATACTTAGATCCCTAGTTGGGTGTACAATGGCTGCATGGTACCAATGGCAATTCAGAGAAGAGTGGTGTCTACCAAATCTACGCCGATATCAAAGGATAATACACAAGTAATCAAGTTCGGCGAGCATACAGATCTCACCACACAGATAGATTTCTTCAGCCGTCCCGTTTGTCTCCTTCCGTCTTTGCGCCTATGTCCGAAATCCCGAATAGGTGTCTAGACCATTATCCAATGAGTACCTTTGAGCCGATGAAACATTGTTTATCTGAAACTGCTTGTTGTTGTCACGTGTTGAAATATACAATGGGGTACTGGGGTATGGATGTGTGGATTTTCGGGATGTACTATTGAAGATATCGGAACTCCACATTCTAGATCGATGAAACAAAGATGTGAATATCTCGAGGAATGTTATCTTCCGAGAGAAAGATAAAACATTTCAAAACAAATGGTAACATTTTTTCTTGCGTGAGTTATCACGACAGGAACAAAATACTCGATTGGAATAAACGGCATAGACGGAAAAAACAATGCAGTGAGAATTTATGAGGAGTATCTTCATTTCCCACGTGTATCGAATGAGATATGAAGGGGCTGAAAGCAATGTCCTTTCAAGGTTGCTGGTGAAAGCTGACGTTGATGTGTGAAGTAGCGTCAGCACGTTGACAGGTTGACGAATTTCGGACCTCCGCATGTCGGAGAATAAGTGATGATTACGAAACTCTTGGGTGCAGATTATCAAACAGATAGACTGAAAGGGATTGTTGACGTTTGAAAATGTTGTCAGCGCAAATAGTTTGGGTTGAAGATACTCGATGGGAGTTTCTTTTTGTTGAGATTCGATTCTGCACACCGGGGATGTGATGAAACCTAATGGGCGGAAAAATCCTTCCGGTTAATTCGTTACACCACAGGCGGAAAAATGGCGGAAATGGCATAATAAGCCGTACAGATGATATGCGTCAAGAGGCTTGATATCCTCTGATGCTATACGATACTTATCATGCGATAAGATGAAAATAGGCTTCGGCTGGTCGCGTTTACCTATTTATGGAATATTTGATATGTGGGTGCGGGATAAGGATATTAGATCCTGCATACTTGGCTTTCCATCTTTCTGCTTCGAATGGTATGGGTGTGATGTATGTAAAGATGAGGATCGCCGCATGGTTCAAGCCCTCTTACTGAAGCTCGAGATACACAACTTCTTTGGATTCTTTCATGTGGGTGTTGACTTGCAGTATGATTGCAGGATATACGTTATAGGCTGACTCTCTTCGCCTGTGAATCGAACCGGACTTTGATAAAAGAGTGAGCTGAGTTGGAGGAGAAGGATAAATTGAAAGTCAAGATGCCTTTTCAACTTCCTCCGCGTTCGAGGCTCGATCCTAAGAGACCTTTTTACCTTACCAGAACCAAAAGGATGCCACCATTTTCGACATTTTATATCTCGGAGGAGTCATTGGCGTTAGGAAATGAAACGGATGATACTATCGATAAGAGAAAAGTTAGAGAGAATGAGCCGGCTATTCCTACAGAATGGTCTCTCAGTGTATTACCTAGTGGTCGAAGATATCCGGGGAGTACCATTCGGTCCTCGATTAGGGGCCGTCGGGATCCCCAGTCTGATGAGGAATCTCTAACGGGAGCTGGCCGAAATCAATACAGGAACATAATCAAGTACCCATTGCCCGGTCCTTTGTCACCGCACCTTGCAGAGAACAGGAAACTATGGATCAAGATGTTTGTAGTCTTTTGTGTGCTTTTGATCACTACGATAATGGGCACAATGTCTATATATTGGGGCGGTGACCATTCATTACAATACAATATACCCGTCTTGACCATTGCAGTGATCGATTTTGATCATTCGGAAATCGGTACTTATCTCCAGGACATGGCGACAGCGGCACGAGCCAAAGATTACAATCGCTCGCTGGGATTCGTGAATCAAGATGGAACGTCCATATATGGCAATGTGGATAATGTTCACGCATCCTTGCACGATCAGAAATTCTGGGTGGGCATCGTAATCATGGAGAATGCTACGAATGCCATGAATCATGCGTATGAGATTGGGGATGAATTGTACGATCCGAATAGTGCAATTCACGTTTTCTACGAGGAAGCTAGGAATGCGCTGGTGATTGGAGGAGCAGTGTATCCGAAGTTACTCGACTTTTTAAACGAGTTTGTACTGGAATTCTCGAAGCAGAAGCAGAACGCTTTTCTACAGGGAACGGATGGGTCGGATATAAACGCTTTGCAGAGACAGGTTCGAAATCCTGTGGCAGCAGGATTTACGGTGTTCAATATGGCACCGGCAATACCATCGGTTCGTCGATATTCAGCTTCCCCCTTTATCTTGACCCTTATTTCAATACTAATATGCCTGAATGTAGACAGCCGAAGCTGCGACAGAGATTGGAACGATCTGTACGTATCTACCACAACTTTATTGATCCGACTATCCAACAGCAAGAGAAATCTTACTAACTCTTCTAAATCAGATCTTATCATCGTTTCTTTCCTCTCCGTCCTCATGTTCGACAAACTCAGCGATACAATCATGGGGACCATACCCATGAACATCTACTACATCTATCGCCTAGCCGTCCTCCCTATCGTCTTTCTCTTCCTCTCCCTCTTCTATCTAACCCTCTCATGCATGTGGCACATACCCTTCTCTCTCCACTTTGGGCCGGCCGGCTACCCCCTCTACTGGATGCTCTCCTGGATCTCCATGATGGCCTTCGGTCTCACGATCGAAAATATCAACAACATTCTCGGCATGCCTTTCACACCTGTTTTCTTCGTCTTCTGGGTCATCTCAAATGTGACAACCGGGTTCTATCCCACGGAAATGCTTAACGATTTTTACAAGTGGGGAATCGTGTGGCCACTGAGACATGATATGATGGGTGCCCGAGCGATTATTTATGGGACGAAAAATACATTGAGACAGAATTTTGGGGTGCTGATTGGATGGGTGCTGATTAGTTTGTTGTTGATGCCTGGGACATTGTGGGTACAGATGCGGAAGAAGAGAGCGATAAGGGAGGAGAAAAGTAGAGTGATCTTGGAGAAGGTTTGGGGGGCCCCGGGAAAGGAGAAAGGGGGGAGGTTGAAATTGCCGAAGCTAAGTCTGCCTAGTTGAAAGGATGGTGACGTGTTGTGATAAGATGAGATGAGCTATTTCGCATTTAGAGGACTTTTCTTTTGCATGCTTGTACATGTACATGTTCAATTTGCAAGCGTTCGCAGGCGTGAGAAATGATCGGTGTGATATTGATGCTGGTAAAGCAGGGCGTGACAATTATTAAAGAAAGAAAATATGATTACATTTCCGTTCCAATTTTGACATGAAGTAGAGATTAAGGTTGGAAAGTGTCGATAGTATTGTTAATGCTCCAACTCGAATCGAGGATTTTCTAGCGAATTTGAGGGAAATTCAGCTATTCGCAAGTCCCGCTTGCTTTATGTCTTTCTCTTCTGTTCTTGCCTCTCCCTTTTAGGTATTTCCTTAGTGGTGCTATACATAACCGATATATAAGGTACAAATAATGTAAGTATAGTATAAATATATTTACACTATGTAAACGATTTTATATAGTCTATCACCTTGTCTAATATTAACACTAAAAAATTTCTATATGATATATATAGTATATATAAAAATTTATTCGAAATATGATGTAATTTAACGCATTTTTAGAATTGGATTCTGAAATTAGAAATGATTTCAAATTCAAAAGAATCTTTAATAATATATTAGTTTAATAAATAATTAAATTAATACTGAAATTATAAGATTCATTTTTTTAAGATCATGTATACTACTACTTTACTATAGGGAAGATTAATTTAAATACAATTAATTAATAATCTAAAATAATATTCAATATTTATTTAAAAAAAATTAAATAAATAATGTTGTTGTTTAATATAAGCTTTATTAGAAGTATATAAAAAAGTTTATATCTGTTACGGGAGCTGCCTCTAGGGTCACGTAGAAGTGTCTAGAGATCTCTCGAGGTGGTTTAGACTAGACTTCAAGTAGGAATTCAATAAGGTTGTAACTGGTTGCAATTCTCGTAACTATAGTAATGAAACTAATGATTGTTCTTGAGCACGAAGCTCTACATTGTAATGAAATCTGTTCTCTTATATAGACCTTCCTGCTCTGCAGAACCTACAGTTCTGTCTTGCCTGGATCCTCTGGATCCTATGGATCTAGATGTTTATTCTTCGATCCCCTAGATCCTCTAGGTCCATCACGTGACTTCCTGACCATGTGACGCGGTATGTTGGATGCCGTCGTAACAATATCATATAAAAAGTTTATATTATATAAACAAAGTATATTATATAGAGAATTCTATAATATATGTACACTATGTAAATTCTCTACATAATATATACATCATATGAATTCTTTATATAATGTTTAATAACTCTAATACCTAGGTAAGATTAGACTAGTGGCTGCTATACATAGCACAGCCACCTCAAATCAGCCGCAACTCCTGTATCGTAGCCAATCTGAGCATCGCACATCTGAATTTCGTTATCAATCCCAAAGAAATCAGTAGCATACATCTCTGCTAAATCACCCTGCGCCCCCATTCCTCCTATAATTATCTGATCATCCGTAAGCACTGGCTGCGATGGTGACTGAAATCCAGTACTAGATTCGTCTTCGCGAGAGTCTCGATTGTATGGCCCGATAGTCATTAGCTTCTCAACGTATACGTTGTTACTATCCTTTTGGGCTTTGAGCAGTTGTTGCCGATACAGATTAATCGCGGTGCTGAATCGAAGAAGGATATCATGGTATTGTTCTGCTTGGGGACTTAACCGGGCAAGCTTTTTAAGCACAGTACAGGCGTGATCGAAGGATCTATGGATATGGGTCGGGGCGTCGCCTTCTACGAGGAGGGAGAAGCCGAGTACAAGTCCGGCGGAAAAAAGCCAAGCTATAAGGATACACATATTGTCAAGTAGAACATTACCGAGAAATGCTTCGTACGATAGCTCTACCATAAAATGAGCAGATTGTACACAAGCATCCGAGAATTGAACGATTTTCTCCCTTTCACTGGAACTCATCGGAGGTACCTCGTTTATTCTCTTAGACTTGCTAGAACTATTCCTCTGTAGTTGGAACATGACATGTGAGATGAGGAATTGTCGCGTTACCATTATGATGCCTATGTAATAAGTGCATGAAACATGGATATTGCCAATCGTAGTCTCACAATAGTCGCCTTCAAATGCGGGATCAGGTACACTGCGAAGTGCTGAAGGTAGGGCCTCACTCCATTCTCGCAGCATTTGAAGATAAGTATCAGCGGACTGCACGTCGACGCGACTAGATTTGGCAAACTTGTGTACGATGGTTTCGATGATAGATGAAGATTCGTAGGCTGCATAAAGAGCTAATGTTCGATGGTCTATATCTTCGGGGTTTGAGCTATCTATCTCGTATTCGTCTCTTTCTATTGATGGTATACTACTAGGGCGTGCAAGAATGGAGCTGCATAGCAAATCAAGAACGCGGGAGCTCATCCAAATACGGCGCCTGCCAATTCAATCAGCAAATGTAAGATATTGATTGACTTCCACAAAGTTGTAAATATAAGCCTACCTAGCAGCACGTTCTTCGGGGGGTACTCGAGGATGTTGATGTGGAACGTGCAACCCAAGAATAGTTGCAGATTTGGAGGCAATGCCGATATACATAAAAGCTGTGTTCCTACGGCATGCCCCGAGCATATACATTGCCATCAATAAAAACAACTTGACCATAGATAATGAGGGATTCTCCAGCATATCAAGAAAGGCCATTTGCTGGGCTTGAGCAAAATACCTTTTCGCAAGTTGAATTTCGGACGCATCCTTGCCTCGAGATTGAGCCCCTATTGCTATCATCAGAAAAAGACAAGCGAGATCTTCTCGTTGTGAGCGGGAGCTCGGAGAAGAACTGGCAGCATCGGTTTTGATGGCCAACAATTTAGAAATATCATCTCGTGAGAAGAGATGAAGAATACCATTCGACTAAGCAAGGTGTGGAATTAGTGTCTTGTGGCCACGGGAAAGGACAGAACTTGGGGCCCCACTGCTCTCATAAAGCAAGCAATCAGATTTTGCTTTTCTTCGAGATCTAAATCATCTTCAAAGGGGCTGTTGTTTCTAGAGATCTCGACTTCTAACATCACATTACTCTCCCGGCGTTCAGTAAAAACGGAAGTTCCAATATATCGCTTAAGCGTAGTTTGAAGAAAGTGTAGGAACGAAATAGCAGCAATGTTACCCACATAAACTATCAAATGTGTCAGCTCTAGCTTACCCTTACATCAAGAAAAGTTTGAAGAAAAGGAGCCGCCGCCAACCTTGTTCGCCTTGGGAGCTCTGCAACATCGTAGAACGTTGACATGGTGAAGAATCACGAGTACTAGCCCGCGTGGTGTTTCGACTATTGGTGTTCTCGCCCGAAAGAAGCGGGTCAACTGATGGCTCAAGACGCTGGATAGAAGCGGTATCAATAGTCTGCCGTGAAGACTGGACGTTTCTTTCCTCGGGAGAGGGTTGCCCAGGCCGAAATTGAGTCAAAGTCGGGGAATTCACATTTCTGGTAACGTGATCTAGTGAATGCCCCGATACTCTTTGGCGTCGTGAACTGGGAGAGGATAGGGGAGAAGATGGCGGATATCGGCAGGAATCGGTACGACCTTTCGTTACACATGACAAACAAGGGAGGTTTGCATCGCAACGCTTCTTTGAACTTTTGCAAGGAACGCAAGCTCTCGCCGCGCGAGCTCGTTTATCGGGATGTACTCTTGGGCGAGGCATTGCCGGCGGAACATTACCGCGCAATTTGTGCGGGGATCATGAGCGAGTTCTCCACGGTTAAGTCTCCGTCGCCTTGATCGAATTTGCTGCAAAAGTACGATATGGATGGATTGATACCAACTACCAAGCCAATAATTGTGTGTCGGAGTGAATGTTGTTGACGTGAAATCGGAAAGAATCTCTCTGTTTCGGAAGAGGGAATGTGGAGCAGGCCCTCAAAGTGGGGTATGGGTGTCGTTATAGTGGGAATTGTAGGTATCTAGCTGTGGGTCGCTTATCTTCCTCCAATTATAAGCAATTAATCTGATCGGCAGGTGGGGTTAGAGGATGTTGTCAACAAAATATAGAACTAGCTGGGTACATTCCGCTGCGTGTCGGATCAACCGCTCTTTTTCTCTCGTGTCGGCAATGTCAAACACATAGGAGATCCTCGATAACTAGAGCCAATGTTCGGTCAATCATTGGGGCTCTTGAGCCCAGATGGCATCGGGCCGCATCGAGGCTTGACGATACATTTTATCGATTATTCACACTACTTGATATGCACCGTTTTAGGGCTCGTTTGGATGTCAATTCCGGTCAGAATCCATCGAATTTTCCGCTTTTTTTTTTTGCTACAGCAGATTCTGCGGTAGTACTTCTCTGTTCTAAAAAAAAAGATGATTTTTCATTTTCATTTTTCTACTTATATACCAATTCTATCATAAAATCCATTCAAATTTATAAAATAAAAGAAAGTAAAATATAATATAGTTTATTAGTGAATGGATTATATTAGTAAGTGAATTACTTTAAAAATATAAATAAAAAAAGTATATAGTTATACATAAACGAACTTTATATGTAAAATAAGTAATTCGCATATTAATATAATTTATTTATTAATAAACCATATTATATATATTATATAAATTCCGTTATTTTATATTCAAATAGAAATATAAAATCCGTCATCAAAATGAACGAAATATCCGATAGAATCTGACCGGATTTGTACATCCAAACTAGCCCTTAGCTATTGACCATATATATATCCATTCACAATTTTCAACATACTTCTATCACTCAATCAAATCACAGCTCAACTTACACATCCTTGATTTAAAGTACTCATTGAACATATCGATCTAGCGAGCGGCTACTATCCACCAATTTCATATATTCTTACTTAGGATCTTTACCAAGAAACAAACCTTTCGTTTTCTCCCCGGCTCTAGAAAGCGAGATTAGAAGCTTTAGTCCCCTCACAACAAAAATGCCCGCTCAACCCGGATTCAGGTCGTTAGATATTGGTGTAGTAGGGGGTGGAATTGGAGGTTTGAGTACTGCTATTGCTTTGCGTCGTGCTGGACATCGGGTCACAATATACGAACGGGCAGATTACGCTGGAGAAGTTGGTGCTTCAGTATCTTGCGCTGCTAATGGCACGAAATGGTTACATGAATGGGATGTCCCGGTTGAAAAGGGAGATCCTGTCATCTTGAAGA